CGGCAGCATCTGTGCTTCAGAACAGTTCTGAACAGTCAGTGCTGCCAGACCTTATCCGTTTTTCCAACAAGTAATGTTTTTGTTCCTTCATCTCAATCCTCAAACTTTGATTAGATTCAGTGCAATAGATCTAACCAAGGCAGTCGTAGGTTACATTCTGTACCAGGTATAGTTGAATCAGAGATAGTAGGAACTGCAGATGCTGGAGATTCAGAACCCCCTTCCCCTCCCCCTTTTCTGATGAAGGGTCTAGGCCCGAAACGTCAGCCTCTCTGCTCCTATGATGCTGCTTGGCCTGCTGTGTTCATCCAGCCCTGCACATTCTGTACCAGGTGTCTCAATTTCAACAGTTATGGTTTGGCAGTGGCTTCAAACTATAACCTGTACCAAGTTTCTGTTCAATTAAGATTTTGTCACTAATCAATATGTGCCAAACACTTTCCTTTAATAAAAAAACGCTGGCATTATTTGCATTACTGCCTTTAATTTGTTGCAAAACACGATTTAAAAAATGGTCAGCACCGTTTTCCCTAATCTAAATCAGATGTTTATGAATTGGTTTTCAACGCTCCATGCACCACCAACCCTCAATATTATAGACCTTTAGTTTAGTCTCAGAATGTGGGTGGTGCCAGCAACATTGTACTACTTGCACGACCTCAAACTGTCCAAGTAATAGCATGGCTTCCATTCAAACCTGGCTATACTTCAACTGTCAAGTGCTCCCAGGCATTGTTGGTCCTCAATACTGGAGGTGTCAGGGAGCAAAGTTCTGAAGTAACTCTGCTAATAGGCAAGAGTACAAACTACTCACCAAGAACTGCACTTGCAAAACCCAAGATGTCTTGGATTCAATTTCACAATCGGACAGTACTTGCTAAACAATGCTGAATGCACTAATAGCTACACTAACCAAATTTAAGATAATCAGTCAAGCTCATATCTCTTATGATTGTTAGAACTGACATTCATACAACTCATTCTCTGCAAAAAGAGAGCAAACTTAAGCTTTGCACCTTTTTTGAATTACCCAGAGCTCGCAGAGGTTTAGGTGCCCAATACTCTTTCCATGGTAAGATCTTGGCCAATTACAGTTGATTAATATCCTTTTCTCCAGAGATAAATTGTTATGGTTTGAAGTTAGCATTTTGTGTTTGTTCTGATGAGTGCAAGGCAAATAGCTTCTGTAACATTTCTCTCCATTGAGCAATAATTGTTAATTTGCTGCCAGGAACCCTACAGTTTACTAAATATTGTAATTAGTTTGTCATTGATCAAGTGATGCATATTGGAGATAGTTGATCTATCAAGTGAATTGCTGTGCTGGATAGTATCTGACAGGTCATTGAAGCAACACCCAGCCAGTAATCGAGCCTTTTAGAAGGAGAGATGCTTTGAGGAATTGGGTGTTACAGAATATCTAAGACAGGCCAGTGTCAATCACCATTTTTGCAAGTTTCTAATCAGGAGTAACCCCAAAATGTATGCCAATCACCATAACCCCTCTCTTCTCCAGACACATCTGTGCCATATTCATACTGTCAACTTCACCAATGCCCTAATTCTACCACTGGGATTAAAAAAAAGGCTCTTTCCAACTTATTTCTTAAACTTGCCCTGACAGGATTAGAGTACTTTAGAGGTGAACAATTAACCCATATCCATTAGGTCTCAGTTTCTCAAATAATTAACCACATTGCCCATAATGGAGTACAGGAGTAGGCAATAACATTGAGTGGTTTCTATGAAAAGAGGGGGAAATTTAAAAGCAGATTTAATTTGTTTTAATACCAGCCAAGGCAGAGTACAAATGCATATTAGTTGGATTATCATGAGAAAAAACACTGCTTGAGGCACTGGAATATTGGGTTAGTTTAAGCGGTATGATGAAAAAGTTTTTCTTAAAAACTTAATACAAGAGCAAGTGACATTCTCAATTGTACAATATTGTCCGAATTGAAATTTGGGAAGATTTGTAGCTTGGGTTGTGGATGAGGTTGTAGACTTGCTCACCGAGCCATGGTTTGGTTGCAGATGTTTCGTCACCCTGCTAGGTAACATCACCAATGCGCCTCCAGTGAAGTGTTGGTGTTCTGTCCCCACTTGATATTTATATGCCTTGGTTTGCTGGGGTGGTTGGCATCACTTCTGGTTCTGTTTTTCAGTGGTTTGTGTACATTAAGTCCAGTTCAATGCGTTTGTTGATGGAGTTCCGGTTGAAATGCCACGCCTCCGGGAATTCCCTGGCATGTCTCTGTTTGGCTTGTACTATTATGGAGGTGCTGTCCCAGTCAAATTCATGTCCTTCTTTGTCCATGTGCATTGCTAGCCACCAAGAAACACGATCAATACACACGGACAGAGATGGACATCCATAATAGCACAAGCCAGAGGTATGCCAGGGAATTCCTGGAGGTGTGGTATTCCAACCGCAACTCCAACCACACACACTGAACTGGACCCAATATACAAACCACTGAAAAACAGAACTGGAAGTGATGCCAACCACCTTAGCAAACCGATGCATATAAACATCATGCAGGACAGAACACCAACGCCTCACTAGAGGCGCACTGACAATGTTACCTAGAAGGGTGACAAAACATCTGCAATCAAACACAATGACTCAGCAAGCAAGTTTCCCTAAATGATTTAGAAACTAACACACTACAAACATCTTACATTGCAGCTAACATGGTCAAATTTAACACCAACTCTTAGATCCTACTATTTAATATATACTGCATGTTTTGCTCCCTTATGAATCTTAAGTGCCCTGTTTACCATTTTGGTACCTGCAACTTTATTTACTATACTCAGACAAACATTCGAGTAATCTCACCGCTGCACAAGAAGTTGTAGAACATTTTGTTTAATTACAGTAAGTGTTATACAACATACTACAGTGGATCACTGGTGGCAATGCTCATGGAAATAAGTCATTGCTCATTTGCAATAAGTCGCAGGAGGCCAGGGCTGAAAAAATTAGAACAATTACACCAAACGATCACGGCAGGAAGAGGTGGTGAAAATATCAAACAAAGTAAATAGGAATACAGGTAGGGAATGTCAGTGGCCAATGGTCAAAAACTAAAGAAAAAGGAAACAGAACTAAGTGAACAGCCAAGAAAATTTTATGACCTGGGCAAAATGGAGAAAATGTAACCATATTCAAAGACAGTGAAGCAAGTATATAAAGGTTTTTGGAAATTAGAGAAAACCAGCATGCTTTACAGAAACAATGTTAATCGATGGCAAAAGACTCAAAATCAAATTCTTTCACTGCCTGAATAGTCCTCAGTTATACTTTTACATCTCCAATCTACATCATCTTGGTGATGAATCAGGCAAACCTTAGGTTCCCTGAAAAAGAAAGATCTCAATGACACTTCCTGATTTACACATCTAACACTAGTAGCTCCTTCCTAGAATAACGTCACATTCAAGCCTGGCTTTACTCACCAAGCCATCTTCCAGATACATCCTTCAAATTTTGATCCCGTGATATTAAATTTACTGGTCTACAGTTTTCATTCAGAGTTCAACCCTTAAAACAACAATTTAGTTACCAATTATCTAGCATATCACCCAAACTGAGAGAAATTCAAGCTTCCATCCAACTAGCATTGCTCCCTCTTTTTGCTGAGTATTTTGATATTTCTTATGCCTGTTACTCAGTTGAAATAGATCACTGATTACTAATTACTCCAGCTGAAAGGTTCACTGGTATTTTTTTCATACTCTTGATTTGCTTCGAAACCTGGAGGTACTGAAACACTACCAACACTGCCTTTGCTAGGTGATTACTTTCATTCTCAAAACTGAACACACGCATTTCATCAACCAGTATCTTTGACATTATTTTAGCTGGGCTCAATGAAGTCTTCATTATGTTCTCTACTCTAGTTGATTGCACTTGCTTTATTTCTCCTGTGCAGCTTTTCCAACAATTCATCAGGAACAGGCTCCTTATTCCCAGAAACTGAGCAGTCGGAATGGGTCTCCAACCATCAACTGACCTGCTCCCCTTTGAAGACATTTTGCTGAAAAATTAACCACAGCTTTAATGGTTGTAGTCAACAGCCCTTGCGGTACCATTTCAAGATTAGTCCTTCTCCTCCCTTTTCAGCCATTATTTAATCTTTATTTCACAATACATTAATTTAGTGGTGAAAACACACCTTTGTAATTTAACATTTGTGCAATAAATACTTATTGTATTTGATTTGGTAGCTCAGATTCATAAACAATTCCTAGGCGGACATTCTTAATTTTAAGCAATGCAATGCATACAGATCAAGGGAATGATTCTGCTCAAGCTTAACGTGATTTCCAGCTAGTGTCTGATTGAAGACACAATTACGTCAGACATCACAGCAGTCGTCACCGGATACAGAGGAATAGGTTTTGGCTGAAGCGCTAAATCCACTAGGATTCCGAAACTAAGGAATGAAGGTAACTACAATTACTATCAAATAGCACTGCTAAAGAAATGGCAGAAATGCACAGGCTTGGGACGAGGGCAGACCTTACTCCACTTCATACACTTAAGCATTTTCTTTTTGCCAAAGTAGCAAAGGATTGTTGACATCAGTAAAACTGCAAGCAGCACCAACCAATTGTTTCAGGAGAGGAAAGTAATCACACCATCTCGAACATCAACCTGGTACAAGAGCCAGGGTGTAATATGGGGAGGCTAGGCTGCACTGGATTCTTCACTAATGTCCAAAACCACTGCCAGGTAATACCAGCTTTCCAACAAAATATTTTCTTTAAGTCAGTTTAACTAAAACTCAAGCAATGCCAAAAGGTTCTCTTACTTCTCTCACTCCCTACAATCTTACTTCCAATTCTGGCACCAAGACCAAGAGCATATGTAAGATAGTAACAGCAACACTCCTCCCTTCATTTAATCTTCCTATTCACTGTGTTCTCTTCTCAATGTCTGCAAAACAAACAGGCAACGCTGAGTCACAGACAGGATAAAACAGCAAGAGATCTTAATTTAGGTTCTTTTATTTAAGTTTAATATTAATCCATGCTGTGTTTCAGTAAGAAGGATACAGATCTGTATCGGTGGCTCCAGTCAGATATATCCAGTAGTACAAATTAGCTTCAAGTTACACATACTGAACAAAGAGAGAAAGAGAAGGGGTGGGGAGAAAAAGGAGGAGTGGGTAGGAAAAAAACCAAAACTTGTTTTAAGCATGCAGGCTTCAACAGCAGCTCAAACACGACCTGCTCTGCCAGGATGGACAAAAAAACAGCAAAGGACTATCTATGGATTGTAACTGTGATCTGCCATCTTTAGGATTAAAAGCACTGAAGAAAAACACTGCACATCAGGCTCACAGACTTTCAGAGCAAGCTATTTAAACTGCTCACAAAAAATACAGTTGTATTTGTTTAGCCACACTAGTTGCTGCAAGTACTTTTTTGGGGAATAAAAGATAAGCAAACCAACAGCATGCAGTTGCTAAGAGGGTTAAGATGGGATTGGTGTGTTGCAAGATGCAGAACACACAAAGGGCTATTTTGTGGGGAGGCGCTCACGGCACACAGGCTTGTCTGTCATTCATTGCAATTCGTGACCAACCACCAATTCAAATTCAATGCTCTGATCTCAAATGGTTAAAGTAGTGCAGGCATGAACTAATCAAAGCTGCATTAGGTAGAATTGAGCAGTTGTTTTAAAACAATTTCCAAATAACTGTGGTAGCTAGTCAAGAAAGCAGGTCCCAGTTAAACATCCATAGAGAGACAGCATTGCTTTTAGATTTTATTTTAAACAAGTAAAAAATAAAAATAAAAAACAAAAATAATCCTCGGAACCCAAATGGGCAATAGCTAATTCTGAGGTCCAGCACCAACATCAAATTTACTGGTTCTCAGCTTGGACTAGGACTGTGGGGAGGGACAGGAGAGGGGCAGACAGGGTCTTCTCATTCGCCATGTCTTCTCACTGATTGTCGTCATCAACATCTTGCACCACATCTTTACTCTGTTCCTCACCTGTACAAAAAAGGAACGAGGCAAGAGGAAAGACAATCAATCAATTTATATACACCAGCTGCACAACTAAATACCAGCTACAGCCTCCTCAGCAGCAACTTTCACACATGACATGCAGCATTTTCAAGATTAGCTGTTGCATTCCAGCTACTGAAGCCATGGTCAATTTGCCCCAACCCACCTTCCACTTATGGCTTTGTCATTTTTCAACCCTGAGAAGCAAGCTACGTTTTAACTTTATTCAGCTTTTTGTTTTAAAAAGATGATCAGTATGCACCACCCTAAAAACCCAAGATTAGGAATAATGATCAGCAAGCAAGGCCAGGTCATGGAATAACAGGAGAGTTTGGCATATCACCCAGATGTAAAGCCTCAGCTGGAAGAGCATGTCAAAGCAGAAATGAATATATAAACAGATCTGCTCACTTTAATTATTCTAAAAGCATAAATTCTAGTAAAAACTGCATTCAATAGTAGTCTTTGGAGAACGTGTATTCAGCAACACAAGCAAGCAAAAAGCAGAAAGGGAACTGTTAGGCTATAAATTCTTGTCACCATGTTCAGACCAGCAACAGACCATGTAGTTGGAACATCTGGTGGATGCTACACTTCAAGCATAAGCAAACGCATTATTCAATAATGGGACCATAGGCCACGAATTACTTCATTCAAAAGCATCCTATGTGTTATGCTATAATGGATTAATACCAATTAGAATAGCACAGGGTAGAATTTTACAAGTACAATCTGCTTTCCCCACACAAGGTCAAGGTAGGTTAAGGTAATCTTCTAGAAGGTCGGTCACTCACTCCCTTTGGGAAACCTTTTCTGTCATTCATTACAGAGGCACAAGTCCCATTCCCAATAATTCCAGCCAAAGATGTACACATGGTGAGACACAAGGAATACCAACTTCTCAAACTGCTCATAACTCAATTCATGACTTGGATTCTAGTCAGACTTTCCACATTGGAAGTTTATCTGGAAGCAGGGGAGATATCAAAATTACTACCTAGGAATAATTTATTTGACTGCAAAGATTAAGCAGTTAACTCAGCAAGTTGGTTGTTCTGACCTCAGCTTAAATATTGTTGGGATCTCTGACTGCAGAGAGTAGCAGGGGACAACCTCCAATACCTAAAGATAACCTTGCTGTAGAAGCGAAAAATATTACTTGCAACAATTCAAACTGCTTTTAAGCATGTTTTCATCAATTGATCACCCAGCATCATCTGAAAATTAGTGCAAAGGAATGGTTGCTTGAATCATATTGAGCATTACTGCTAGGCTAAACATTGATACTATATGCAGTAACGCACCAGTGTCACTTAAAGCTCCAGAAATCCTGAGGTTGATAAATTTTATACTATTTCACTCCCACCAAAAACATCTGAATGTAGGTTAGAACAAAAGCATAACTTTCTTCCATTACTAAAACAAAATAATTTCTGGAATATAAAAGCTAATGCACTGATTTAACTCCAGTGCTGAACTGCACAATTATAATCTAAAAGTTTTTGCAGTAAGTCAGCTGACCATTAATCAAGAAAGAAATTAGTTTAATAGGTCAGATACCAAATTCAAAAATCACAGCTCTAGAAGTAAAGCTATTATCCATTGCAGCACCTTTTGCATTTTACTAGGTCCAGCATTCAAGTGCCAACTGTGGGTAATGCATGGATTAAAACTATTTTCAATGTGTACTGGAAGACACTGCAGTCTGATACAACAGAAAAAGTTCCCATCACCAGAAGCAAATCCAAAAGGTTTGTATACCAGTGAGTCAGTGATACTGTGTCAATTCTGGGAGTTGTATCTCAATCTAGCCCAAAACAATGAAAGTTACAGGCCGTGCATGTGACACTGATTATTAGTAGCCCCCTCGCTGGCAAATACGAAGCACGAGCCTCCTTACAATTCCAGGTCTGCCAGACAATTTAACGATGACTGATATGAATAGTGTCACATTGTTGCAAAGTACTGGAGTGAATTAGTCAGCTGTGTGTGGAGGGAACCTGCTGTAATGCACAACTAAATACCAGCTACAGCCTCCTCATACTAGAGATTGCAGAAGTCAGGGGAATTAAGCATAGGATTTTATTTCACAGACTTCAAACCCCAAGGTAGGGGAGGGTGTCAGATTACCTGCTTCAGCTTACAGCTCAAGTACTCAAGTGGTCATTTGGGCACACACAAACAGGACAAAAAAGTAGAGACCTTACATCTTTCAGATCAGCAAGCACACCAACAAGCCCAAGCAAGGAATGAGTGAATTAAGTAACAGCTCATCTGAAGCATAACCAGATTCAGGACACAATTACCCTATTTCCATCACGACGAAACTACTAGGTCCCGAATGAAGACAGCCATGCATGATGCAGGGCATCATGATCCCAGTCTATTGTATGCTGATTGTGACAACAGATCAAACTACAACACAGCAGAAATCCACAAGCAGCTGAAACCACAAACTGAAGTCCAAACATGCCCACTTTTTGAAATGTAGCTCAAAGTATGTCCAATGCTGACAGAGTGCCGAGACAGACCTTGCTGTGAGATAAGCCACACTGGTTAATGCAAGGATGAGGCAGATGTCACAATACCAGATAAATATGAAAAACAAAAACCCAAAAAAGATTAAAATGTCCTACCTCTTACTGGCCTAGGTTTCTCCGGAGTTAAAAGTCAGTGATGGAGTAATGGGGTTTTTCCTGTACATTGTGATGAGTCCTTCCCAAAATCTGAGCCACCCAAAACCAAGGGCATATAAGCATATTCTAGCACCTACCCCCACTGCGCTGGTAATGCTATTTTCAAAAATAGTTGATACAAGGGCAGAAGCACAGGTAAAATTTGAACTTCACTTGTCAGCTCTAAATAGTTTATCAAGATACAGCACACAAGGCTGTACCCAGTCTCAAATGTCCCAATCTGAGCTAAATATGACTCCATGTTTACAGCAAGAACCACAAAGTAGGCCAGTTTCAGCAAGTGACATGACATACTCGTTCCAGTGACGCCATCTCATCCAGGATAAGGCCCTAACAATACATCATGAAAACCTAGCTTTAAAATGGTATTGTGACATCTGGTGATATGACAAATGCTTGGCATTCTGAATGACTTACAAAGTACAGATTACAGGGGGAATGATTGGTTCATATCCTTTATGAATCTATTCAGGAAGGAGAAAGGAGTGGAAGAAACAAAACAGGAATGTAAATACCGAAGAGGAAAATTAAACCGTACACAAAGGGAACATAAGTAAAACAGGAGAATCCTCAATGAAATGGAAAGATATGTGATTATAGGTGCCTGTTTTTCACAATACCAACTAATGTCACCTAGGCTCAGAAAGCGAATATTCATTAATAATTAGTGGAAAAACTGCCAAGTGCAGGCAATATCATTAGTCAATACCATTAAGGCTAAGTCTGGTGTTTTGTTCCCATTAGGCCATGTTGTCACTACACTGGTGGGGGGGTACAGGAAACAAAATAATATGGTACATGGGGACAGGAAATAAAAACACATGATATGTAGTTGGACTCCAAATATACACCAATTCCAAGTCATCTTGAAACTGAAACCTCAAATTAAGACCAAAAGTTTAAGTATTTATGTTCTAAAAAATAATTTGTCCATAATCAACATGCTGTATCTGAATGCTGTTATCCCTAGAGGCAGCAAAGATAAATTGCGATTTCACTTTTTGTTTTGCCTTTTTAAATGCTTCAGTCTCAGTGAATTAGAGATTTGTTGCTGCTGGATATAACTGCAGCCAACATCCTTATTGCAGCCTATTTTGGTAAATGCTAAAATCCAACTGTAGATGATGCTGGACAGAAATCATGAAGCGAAACTGAGTTCACCAAAGTGCTATTCAGCAGATTAAATAAAAGTACACCATTAACTCCACACCATTAAAGCTCTCTCCCCGATGAGGACCCACAATATCTGAATTGAGCACACCAGCGCATGGTTTGAGGAGGATATAATCTGGCCTCAGGTACACCAAGTGAGTAGACTTCATGGAGTAGAAGTCTTCTTCAGTTCCCAAACAGCTAATCAATACCAACAAGGGCAACCTCTATCAGAATAAGGCATAGTCTTGGGAAGGCGAGAAACTGGAGCTCTGACTTTAAAAAGCATTTTCTTGGGCCTCAGATCATGAAGAGCAGACTCGAGGGGGTTAATGGCCTACTCCTGATTTTATGCTCAGGAGAATCAAAGTTTCAACTCTTGCACATGTTAAAAGTTGAGTTGGGCCAAATTCTCAATTCCAATTGGTTGAGTCCTTTCAACAGATGAGAACAATTCTCTCTCAGATGACACTTGGTTTGATTAGAAAGCAAGCTAATGCAGAAGGGACTCAATAGCTCATTTTTCTTCTGAAGCGTATTCAAAGGGAAATAGGAAATGATATACCCCACATAGGAAAAAGGCACCCTCTGCTACTTTAGCTACAGTTATATGACATGCATAGACAAGTAATCCTTGCTGCATTTGTACTGAAGCATCTCCAGAGCTGCTGGGGCACAGATTTAAATACATCAAATGAACGTGACTCCCCCGCCACCTCCCCACACACACACAATTGTTTTGATGCCAGTGGGCCAAAGACAAAGAACATCAAGGCAAAAAAAGGAACTGACTGCATTGAGCAATGAAAACAAAAGTTCCGTGGAAATCAGAAGTATTTGCTGGTTACATACCATCTCCCTGCATGTCTGAAGTCCATAGTGTCAAGTTGTCACGTAACAACTGCATAATAAGTGTAGAGTCCTTGTAGCTTTCTTCACTCAAGGTGTCCAGTTCCGCAATTGCATCATCAAATGCTGCCTTTGCCAATCTGCGAGGTGAAAATGATTTTTATTTTGTTGCTGCAGCCAACTCAACTACATTTTAAAACAAACAAGCACTTAGCATTTCAGTCTCAACAGTTAACATCAAGTCTTACTGCTTTCAGTATGGTGGTTCATTGGATAAAAACTGCAACCATTATACATTAGCTACCTCCCACAAACAGTGGAGATGAATAGCCCATTCATCTGTTTTGGCAACACTGCACGAGGAGAGATGTTAGCCAGGTCACCATCCAAAATCCCTTGAAAATGTGCCACAATCTTTTAACATTTACCCAAACCCACCCACAGGAATAAGACAGGGCTTTAGTTTAACATCTCCTTCAAAAGACATTGCAGCACTCAGTACTCTAATGAAGTATCAGCCCAGAATGAGGCCAAAATACTTAACTCAGAACAGAGGTAACAATTTGCCTACCATTAGGCTCTCTGCCCTGCCTTTACAAATATGGTTTCTCAGATCAGGTAGCAGAGGTCATCTAACATGGATCAGCAACCTTAAGAAAGAAGGCTACAACTGTAAGCCCAACTACCTGTTGTTGCAGTTTTTATGCATACAGCGTACATACCTGCAGGCACGGTCAGGAGAGTTGAGAATTTCATAGTAGAATACAGAGAAATTCAAAGCAAGGCCTAAGCGGATGGGGTGTGTCGGTGGAAGTTCTGTCATTGCAATATCACTAGCCGCCTTGTATGCAACCAGGCTGTTTTCTGCTGCCTCCTTCCGGTCATTCCCTGTCGCAAACTCTGCCAGATACCTGTGATAATCACCTTTCCTGTAATTAGGACAAAGGGCAGTAAGACCAGTCGCAACAAACTAACAAACGGTTTGTTAACTGTAATTATAGCTTCAAAGCAAAAGACTCGGAACAGACTTATCAACACTGGTGAAATCTCAAGACATGAGCGAAGAACTTCCTATCAGGCATTACTGAGAAGCATAACTTTTGGCCACTTTATTCCTTTCCCTTCTTTCAACCAGGGCACTTGGCTAACTGCAGTTCTCCTAAATAAATGGAGGGCAGCTAATTCAGGGCATATCAGTAATTTGATTTGTGGCTTTACAGTCATTATACTTCACTACCACTTAAAGCAGTGATTTTACCCACTAGACCATTCTAGGAACACCCATTATTTTGTTAGTCCATTTTTCTTTGGCTGGCAGAAATGAAATATCATAACGTTTAGCTATAAATCCTGCTTTACTAAATAGTAGTTCTATCCAAAGGGCAACAATAGCACATGACAAATGGATCAGTTCAACCGAGGTGACAGGTGAACATCTAGAATATCCCAAAATGCCCAGTACGTACATTTTATAGTAGAAAACCTTTGACTCTCCGGAGTTGGCAGCAGGAATGAGGTGTTTATCCAGTACATCCAGAATGTCATTACAAATTGATTTCAGTTCATCCTCAACCTGAAATTACAAACCCGAGATCAACTCTCACAACAGACCCAAAGTTATTTACTGCAAACTAAAATACTGAGAGGTTTGGATAGAGAGTGGATGTGGAGAAGGCCTTTCCACTCGTGGGAGAGACGAAGGCCCAAGGGCGCAGCTTCAGAGTGAAGGGACAACAATTTACAGCTGAAATGAGGAGGAATTTCTTCAGCCTAAGGGTGGCAAATCTGCAGAACTCCCTGCAGAGAAGGCTGTGGAGGCAAAGTTAGAGTGCACTTAAGCCAAGAGATAGACAAGTTGGTGATTAATAAGGGGATCGGGCAGAAGAATGGGGTTGAGAAACGTATCAGCCATGATTAAATGGTAAAGGAGAGTTGATGGGCTGAATGCTTTATTTCTGCTCTAATATCTTAGGGTCGAAATCTCTCTATGGCTACTTCAGTAAGAATGTACAAATTAGGTATATGAATTCAAAGGCAAACATCATGATTGTTCACCCAGATAAAGTAGCCCAAGTTGTATGCAGAGTGTAAGCTAACCTCTTGATGTACCTGTAAATATGTTGAAAACAGCACAGAAACACTAACATGAGGCATGATACGGAGACTTTTTAATTGAACACAACATAGTAGCAGAGATAACAAGGTGAAGAGCTGGATGAACACAGCAGGCCAAGCAGCATCAGAGGAGCAGGAAGGCTGACGTTTCGGGCCTAGACCCTTCTTCAGAAAATACAACATAGTAGCAAAATGCTTTTGGTTTACTTTTGCTCAAATGCAACCATTATAAATTGACAAGTTTTCAGGGGCAGTAACATGCACCCCAAAATAGTTCCCTTCTCAGCCAGCCAATACAGGTAAGTATCTGCACTATTCAGGCCAGCATGTTGAAAATCAAAATTCACATTGTTCATTTTTAGGCCAGGGAAAAAAAAACTGAATAACTTGGTACTAGCAGTAAAGTTTTTTGTTAAGAAAAGTTTGTAGGCAGAAGGAACTTTACCCTGAAGGATGAAAGATTTCCTGGGCAATCAAAGCATTTAATGCACCATATGTCACAGTCCTAAAGGCAAAAACCTGAACTGACTATATTAATGACACTACCTGGCAAAGTTCCCAGGGTGATGGGGATGATGATGATGATGATGATGTTGGGGGGAGGAGATGGGGACAGAGGGGGGAAAAAGTTGGGGGGGTTAACAAGTGTAGAGAATCCATTATACCAGCTCTTAACTAGAGGGATTTGGAGATCTTGCTTCCTGTTCTCAGGGGAATAATGCAATTCTAGAAAAGCTATTCACTTGAGTTGGCCAGCAAGGGAAACTTCAAAAGCAGCAGCACTAGAAGCCTGCCTCTGAGTCAAGATTCAGTACTCTACCTGCAGTTTTACCTGCACAAGTAATTTGCATTTATAAGTACATCATAATTTGTTTCATTACAGCCGGCTCATTACCCATGTCTATTCCTCCAGTGTGCACAACCCAAGATGTACAGAATCTGATTGTTTCAGATCACACAGGTATAGCTCGGTGGTGTTTGAAATATAACCACCTTCAGAATATAACCTGAGATATAATTTTCAGTGTACGCCAAAACACCAGTGCAGATTTTAATTCTAAAATGGCAGACTGTGCTTCAGTTGCCTCAGGGGGCTCCAATCAATTTTTGCGGCTGGTGCAAACACTGTGCACTCCAGATGCTGTCATCCAGCATTCAACTGAATCACAGGGAACATGTGAGAAAGCATGTGCCAGCAGGGTTCTTCAGTTGAGAAACCAGGGAGCTGCAGACTTCGAGAAGTCTCACTTTAGGTATTTTCAAATTCATTGGAAAGGAAATCAGAATAAAATTCCTCAGGCTGCATTCCAATGGAAAACAAACCCAGGGAAGTGAAGATGATTTCCAAAACTTAAATGTGTGGATGAAAATTTTTGCATTCCCAGTTCCAAATCAAATCTGACTGATGTCACGAATTGAATCGCAGCCAAAGTCCTGTAATATCATTCTAATTAGATCAGAAATTGGAACAGGTCAGAGAAGGAATACGGGGAATAAATTCTTTTAAAAAATTTAAATGGAGATTGAGAGCACCAACTTAATACCATTACTAAGATGCACTGCTAATATTGGGAAGTGGAAACAAAGCACTTGATGCTCTAAATAAGTGAGGTCTTCAAGCAATTTTTTTTTTCCAAAAGGATAACTCCCTCAAACAGAGCTGCATTTAAATTTTTTTCCCCCAAGTAAAAATATGTATAGACATTATTGAACAAATTTTTTTGATACAGCTATGGTATTTAAACACATACAAAGCCCTATGCACTGTGGAAAGATCCTGGATTATATTGGGAGCAAGGAAGTGATCTGTTTGAGATTCACTTCCCTTGCAGCAGGACAGAAGAACTTTGAATCCCAGGAAGAGGGCAGCATAGTATTTTGCAAGTTTTCAGCATCATTCATTGTGATCTAACCGATTAACTCAAGGAAAAAGTGACTTTTCTTTCAAAACACTGATCAGTCTGGTGTTGAATTAAATTAAAAGAGCATGGTGCCACAACACTGTGACGGCCTCTTTGGTTTGCACACAGCAGTACAACCATCCTGGGTCTCCCTGACAGAAGTGAGGTATCATTTTTGTTTAGGAGGAATGTAAGTCCTCTTGTCTCTTAGCACTGGCAAGAAGATACTCAATCATTTCAATTGATACGAACTAGAAGAAACATCAAAATCAACATTGATCCAACATGTAGTTCTGGTCAATTTGAATATGTCATTATTGCCAGCAGTAGAGGTTGGCATTGGAAGACATGGCCTGGTCCTTGGATTACATTTCATCCCAAGGGACTTATTTTACTCACCGTTGGAGGGGTGGTATTAAAATGCTGATTTTTCTGAATGTCCTCCTATGCTGAACCAGTCAGCCAGTTGTGTCTGTGCTGGTTATTTGAAAGAGTAATTGCCTGGAGCCACTCCATGTAATCCAGTACATTCTTCCTTTCCAGATATTGAAATCCCTCTTGAAAGCCTCAACCAAATCTGCCTCAGACATAGCCCCAGATTCTGAGCTTTTCTTCATGTTGGCATCGTATTCTTTTGAGAATTACTTTTAATCTGCATTGTTTCGCAACTCTTTCACCAAGGAGAAATGTTCTTCCCTACATACCGGCTCCCCAATGGTTTGATTTTGAATATCTCAATCAAATCTTGTCTTGAAGTTTTCTCCAAGGACAAGAGTTCCAAATTTCTCTAATATGTCTACATAACTAAAGCCCTCACCTGAGGGATTTTTCTTGTATACCTTCTCTAATGCCTTCACATCTTTCCTAGAATGTGGCATCCAGAACCAGCAGGGGAGGATCAGAGGAGCCAAACCAGTGCACAATTTCTTTACTTCTATAACCAGTGCCCCTTTTCATAAAGCTTAGAATGCCGTACATTTAGAACAACCTAGCCTGCCACCCTCCATTACTTACACACACTCTATGCTCCTTCAATCCCTTTGGAATTCTACCCTTTATATCGTTTCTCCTTGTTCCATCCACCAAAATTAATCAGTGTTAAATTTCTTTCATCATTAATCCACTCATTCCAACATTCTAAGTGCTTTTGAAGCTCCACACCATCGTCCTCAGAGTTCATTACTTCCAAGACTGCAAATGATCCAATTGTGAAAGTGTATCCTCTACATCAAGGTCTGAAATAATATAGAGAGAGAGCTGGGCCCTAATACTAATCCTTGGGGAAACTCCCAATACCTCAAATGCAGCTTTTTGCTAGCAAAAGTAACACCTGGATAATTAATTTGTAACTGATAAGTCACTAGTCTAACTTAAAATAATAGTAAATCTCAACTTAATTCACTTAATTACAGATTTCCAATTTCAATGGTGGATAGCAGTGCTATGATTTTGTGACAAGTTTATCTGGAATGATTCTCTGGATCCACCCAGTGGTTATCTTGCTACCGACAAAACTGTTTTAACACTAAACATATATATATAAATACTCTTCCCATTGTAAGATGGGAAGCCACAATCCTACTGAAATAATGGAGCGGACTCAAGAGGCTGTTTTTATTTCTAATGGTCTATCCAATCACCTCTAGTCTCATTCACCTGGATATCAGTTTGTGACTGTTACTATCCAACTTATACCAACTTCTGAAAAACCTGACTAATTTAGCTTTCTCCAATATGCTGCCCCACCAAAACCCAACTCCACATATCTATCTTTGTAAAGGAACACTCCAAGTCACTTACTGCTGTACTCTCAATTTCCAACATCCAACCTAAATCACAACCTCTCCACTATCTTTGATGCCCTGGTGCTCACAAACCAATATTCTCCTTGGTAAGTTCCTCATCTCCGCTCCTGTAATTCCAAAGAACGTAAATCAGATTTGACTTTAGTGGATAACTGGCTTAACCAGCCAGTTCTGGATCTGGCTGGAGTAAACAAAGCATTATCAGGTACAGCAATTCAGCTTTTAAACTGTCCTTTATTCAAAAGATGATACAAAGATAAACTGCTTCCTTAAAGGCACGGTGGTACAGCTGTTAGCATTACTGGCTCTCAGCACCAGGGACCTGGTTTGATTCCAACCTTGGGTGACTGTGCAAACTCCAAAGTCATTCTCACCACGTCTGCATGGGTTTCTGCCAGGTACTCTGGTTTCCTCCCACAGTCCAATGATGCACTGGTAAGGCAAATGGCCATGCTAAAATTGCCCCATAGTCTCCAGGGATATTCAGGCTAGCTGGATTAGCTGCTGTAAATGCATGGTTATGGGGATGGGGTGAGTCTGGGCAGGATGTTTTTCGCAGAGTTGGTACAGACTCAATGGGCCAAACAGCCTCTTTCTACAATGTAGGAATTCTATCTTGGGTGGCATGGTAGCACAACACTTAGCCTCACAGCACCAGGGACCCAGGTTCAATCCTAGGCTTAGGTAACTAGTGTTGAGTTTGCACCATCTCCCCACGTCTGTACAGGGTTCCTCCAGGAGCTTCAGTTTCC